GCAGGAATGTTCTAGGATATGAATATAACACAGCAAATAAGCCTCAATACTATGCTGAGTTTGTTAGCTAACAGTTATAATGAAAATTTTAGATGTGTCATGCAGGCAGAGGCATGTGTCTGACCGTGTTTCTGCCAGAGCCAGAGGAGGAAGTGCATCCAGCTAAGCACGAGGACACGTACGTGATCCCGTTCTCTCCACACACTGGGTCCCACTCTCTTCTTGAGCACAAGCAACCCGAATTACAGTCGGAGAAGAGAGAATGTTCGTGATAAGACAAGCCTTCCTCGCTGCATGTGACAACATGACGAAAATGGATTATTGTATGAAAAACTGATCAAATAAGAAGTGAATAGAATATGAAAATAAAAGAAGGCAAATGCAACACCACACAAAAGGAAGCCTAGGAGGTGTGTAGGCTCTAAGGATTAATTGTAAAGTTTTTCTAAATCCACACCTACAGTAGCTGCTTCTTCTGATATTACCTACTCCTCTAAGACATGAAGGAAATATATACAGATACAGTATCATATACCCATTATATGAAACAGTGATGCCCGCCACCTTGGCATTCTCACAGCCCATGGCTAAGAAAAAGAGTGACAGGAAGTAGCCCAGCAGGGAGGTCCCAAAGGCAAATCTAGCTGCTCCCATTATACCCAACTTGTACTTCTTCATGACAACACCTCCAGAGAACATCCCAAGGGCCACAGCTGGGATGTTGATCGCACCTAGACAAACCACAGAATACAACGTATTCTAAAAATGGTAGAAAATGAAGAAAAACTCAGACAAGCAACAACACTGCTATTCAAAACGAATCAAAGTCATAAACTCAGTGTCTCATTCATATTTCATGTAAAGAGAGCTGAAGTCACGTCAAGAAAGAAGCAAATGACTTTTGATGGTTGAGAGGATACATAATGCATTTCTTGTCCTCAGCACCCTCTACACTCATTTCATTATGTGGATAAAAAGTGCCACGTTATTATATTGTCTCCAATTCTTTCAGATTGGTGAACTAATTGGTCTCATTAATCTGTGTGCTTTTTAAATTGGTGTCTAAATCTGGGTGTCATCTTCAAGATACAGTGTTTATTTAAGAGGACTGTGGCAGTTGGAGCTTAGAAAACTCATCAAAAACTGGTCCGTGAAACACTTACATTGACGATCTAGCTCATATAGCTTTGCATCCTTAAATTCTTTTCCCACAGCAACATACTGTAGCTTTTGAACGAACTTGTAACTGATCTACAATGATAAAATCAACAGACAAAAATGACAAAGCATGGTAGACATTATGAAATGTCAAAATAGTCTGCTTACCCATGAGAAAATTAGCCTTTGATGCTGACTGGCCATAGTGTTGCTCAATGTACTTGGGTTTGTATGTGACCATCCCGATGAGAGAGTTGAACTGAATGATTGTCACACATAAGTAGATGATGAACAGAGGATTTCCAAGGAGAATCTTCAAGGTAGGCAAAAAATCTGCATGGAAAAATTCTTAATGAATTAAAAACATGTTGTAGTTTATGCTTAGCATCATTAATGCTAAACTATTCGAATGCTAAAAGTTGAAAAATGCAGTGATACCAGCACAAGGCAAAGTTATTACATCCCTCACTGGATACAGATTCTGATGCCAATATTTTCCATACCCTTGGCCATCTGATATAAATTAGCTGGCTCCTCAGGTCTGAACTTGTGCTGCATGCTTTGGGAACCTCTGATAAACCTAGTTTGCTCTGGAGTGCAGCTGGTATCATGTTTATCCACGGGCATTGGCAGTGATTTGGGCAGGAACCACAAAGGAACAGCAGACATGAGAGTGATGGTACCAGTGATGAAGTAGCCCAGCCACCATGCCCCAACCCAGCGGGCGTCACCAGGGGTAATAGTCACAGTCTCTACAAAGACATACAGTAAGAACCCTCTTAACAGCGTATGTGGATGCAGTTTGTTTACTATAGATACATTTAAAGTAAATGTACTTATGAAGTACAATTTAGACACAGAGTCAGTTTCAAAGTGCTTTACATACACTTTAGGGTTGTGGTAAATACTCAAAGGCAGTATTTGGTTTGTATTGTTAAATACAAAAGCTTCCATCAGCTTCAAAGTGTTTGCTTCCCAGTTAGATTATACTATATCACATGGTTTACCCTGTCCTCTTAGCAGGGGTGTTGCCATGTGCAACAACAAATTTCCAACTCCAGCTCTCTGCAGAGGAGTATTACTATATTTTGTTATTGTGAACAAATGATAATCAACAATAAAACTATACCACACTCAATATAGGTTTTATCCCCCAGACACAGTTTATTAATGGGATAACAGCTGCCTGAGCTAACTTACCCATGTCCACATTACCAATGTCAACATAGATTTTGGCACACAGGGACCCCAGCAGGTACCCAAAGACAGGACCTATAATTGATATGGTTTGGACACAACCTGTGATAAACAACAAAGAAAGCCATATTTATTCAGGCACAGTCAGCATCTTCTAATATCTACTGTGTTTGGGCACAATTCTGCAACAATTTATTATTATTATACATTACACTGCAATATACACCCACCAGCCACTTTATTAGGTACACCTGGACATTTAAAATATACCAAGCACAACAAACTATACCTATAACAGAAAATAAATTACTTCCTGTCTACCTCAACTTCCTAGATTAATTACTTTGAAAATGTAGTGCCCTTAATCTTGGTACCTACAGTACTGTGCAAAGCCACTGGCAAACTGTGACTTAGATGTATTACCAATATAGAGGGCAGTATTTTCTGACTCTGTATAATCATCAATGTAGGAGATTCCCAAAGGCTGCACTGGAGTCTCTCCAATCCCACGCAGGACATTTCCCAGAAACACATAGATCCACATAGAGACACTGGAATCTCGCTCACAGCCTACAGTTCAAAATAAATTGGAAAAATGAGTTGAGGATTCTGTCAAGTCTCAGAAAGTGACAAAACGTCCTGTTTGAGTTGTGCCAAAATTGTCATGATGAACCCAGGTGAAACTCTTGACTAAGCACAATAAGAATTCTACTACTTATCTTACCTGTAGAGGGTAGTATAGAGGGTCTGTCACCTGCTTTGCTGGACTCTGCTGAGATTGCTGGACATGGAGAGAGGCTATTGGTTGAATTCACTGAAGCCTTAACTGATGTTTCAATCTTATAGCTGCGTACAAAATACCAATGTGACTGTTAAACAAGGGAAGGGAGAAAGCATCAGGTATAATTAGATACTCACAATGTGAAGCACAAACACGTACACCAGAGACTACATTTGCAAAGTTTTACACTCACTATCTTGTGTTTACAATGATTGAAGACAAATTGAAAAATACACTGAATTTCTAGCCTGCAACGCATGCTTACAGACAGGACACTTCATTCTTACCGGCCAATGATAAAATGTGGCATGGCGATCAAGAAGGTTCCAAAAGACATCAGGATACACCCAATTGCTATGATCTTGGGTCGATGGAGTTTGGCACCAAAATAGCTCACAAAGGCAATCACCAGCAGATTCCCTACAGGGTTGAGATGGTTCAAAGTGCAGATAAAGATGAGTCAATATGAGACATACAGTAATGTGGGTAAAAAAATCTCAATTATATAACCACTTTTAGCAGCCCAGTATGTTACAGACACAAGGAATTTGTCTGCGGTAAAGAACCAAGGTGCCAACTCACACACACCAATGGTGGTGCTGGCCCTGCAAGGCAGCTAATCTGGCCATTGGGGCAACTTGGGGTTCAGTGTCTTTCTTGCCCAAGAACACTTTGATTTTGGAATGGAATCAAACCACCGACCGTAGGCAACGACTACTCTACCTCCTGAGCCTCAGCGACCTCTTAATTCAAGGTGGGGTTGAACTCAAGCCTCTTGAGAAACTAAGCGGTGCTTTATGCCTTCGCCGCATAAGTTATTGTTATTATACATCATGTATATAATAAGTCTGCCATCTTGGTAATGCTTCACTCTGCCTAACTCCAGCTAATCCAAAAATGGGCAAGGAGTGTGAGTGGTGCTAGACAGCTAGCGGTTACCAACATATGGTGGGACCCTCCCATCTGTCACTCAAAAAGGCTGTTCCCTTAATTATGCATTACTTTTAGTCTCACTATAATTTAAACAGGCAAATTATTAAAAATTCACCACTTGCACAGTTGTCATGGAAGGGGAAATTAGCTATAGAGACCAAAACTGTTTTTGTACCAGGCTGTAAACATGTTTATTTCTACTGTAAAGTTGAGCAATTTAACATGGGACTCTATGGGGACTGACTCCCTTTTGGAGCCAGCCACAAGTGGCCATTTGAGGAGCTGCAGGTTTTGGCGCTTCCACATTTGCTTCACTTCTCAGCCTCTGAGGTTGCTACTTGGTATCAGCCATAATAGACAACTGATTAGGTCATGATCAGTGTGATAATTCATATTTCTCTGTGGTATGCACACATATAGCAAAAGTAGTATTCTTTAGTCACTGTTTCCAACCTTCAGCATCAAAGAATTTTTTTCAATGAGTTAATGAGATGCATGACCAGTGACTGTTCAAAGCTCAAAGGGGATGTATATATGTTATAATGTCAAGCCTGCTAACATAATAAGGACATATTCTTAGCTTTTTTGCATTAGCAACTAAATGGTTTGCAGTATGTGCAGAGTAAATAAAGAAGCACATGGTGAAAAAAAGAAGAACTCACCTATTTCAAAGCTCCCATCTATGATGCCAATCAGATAACTGGGAATGTCAAATTGCCTTTCTAGCTGTGTAAATGTACTCTTCATGTAGCTGCCAGATAATGCCTTAGCAAAATAGGCAAAGGACAAGGCTGCAAGGAACATCTGCAGAGATACACAGACATTGTGTCAAACAAAGCAATCCTGAAGTGCTTCTCCTTTCTATTTACATTTCAAAAGGATATATTAACCAGTCTTATTGTCAATATTATTAATATAACAGAATAATATCATAGTTTTTTGGTAGTGGTAGTAGCAGTATTTGAAACATCTCAAGACTTATCTTTCATTTTAGAACCCAGAGTCAACTGCAACTCTGCAGCCTGAGAATACATTTCTAAAGGTTGGACTTTAAAGTAAAGGCACATTTTTAGCAAATTAAACCAAACTAAAATGAAAAAGTGCACAGATTTAGTTGGGTACCAGTTTGTCATTAATTGAATGTATTTCTCAAAGTAAGTCCGTGTACATGAATTTGCAATGCAGATACACCTCTATAAAAGCAACACCGGAAATGAGCTGTTAAAGCCTGGGCTAGAGGTTGTATTGAGCTCCCTCCTTCTTTTGCTCAGCCACCTGTGGACACCAACAGTTATTAACAAAGGGAAGCTTAGAGAAGCCAGTCCTATGAGGACACAGATACATCCACTGCACTATGCGCTGACAGACCAACCAACATGCAACATAATTGGAAACAGGTGAGACATAACTCTTATGGATGAAACTAACCCAAGCTTGGAGGAGATGCACCAACACACATGCATACTCTTGTTTTTACCACTTATTTTACCATTACTTCATATACCACTGATATGCCACTTAAACAGTATCATTACTTAATCACTTAATGCATTTTCAGTATACCGTATATCACATTAATGACATTTGACCTCAATGCAATGTGTCCTATAAGCAATGGTCATAATTGCTGTTCTGCTTCAGAGGGTCAGAAGATCTGTGAGGAACTTTATGAACACATTCAAGTAGGTAGTCCTTGATATTTAAGAAAAACTAATACAATTATTTAGAAAATAATTTGTTTATATTAAGATGTGATAATATTAGCATGTAGCACTCTCTCAAGGACAAAAATGGAAAATGTATGGTTGCGATATTCATATCCTCTGGCCAAAGATAATTCAGTTCATTATAACAGAACACCCCCGTGACCCCATTCTGGACTAAGTGGTATAGAATATGAGATAACAGAACACTAGAAACCTACAAATATTAACCTTCTGTATCCAGTAACTTTTCCCTCACTAACTAAACTGATTAATTGATGATACAAATTATTGCTGAACAGCTTTCTGTTGAGTAATTAACTGATTAATCCACAAATCAATGCAGCTCTAATCCAAAGTCAGGTGTTATCCACATAATACTGACAACTGATGTCTTCATACTTTCTGTGTGAGCAAAAATTAAACAGTACAGTAGACTGTAAAGTATTGGGCCTTTGGGAATACCACATGCAACACTGGCTTTCTGATATCGGTAGCCTAAAGAAATACAAATCCCTTTTCAGAATGTCTGGACCAACATGAGTAATGAACCCCACAGCCTGACCCAAGCTTAGCAACTAGCGCCCTGTTAGCTAGTTTAGCTGCTCAAGTATAGGTAGTCTCTCTCCTCCACGCCGGGGGTCATTACAATATTTACAATATAAACAATCTACGTAACCCCACAGCCTGACCCAAGCTTAGCAGACTGTTAGAATGGTCTGCTTATGTACCAGTGATGTCAAATCTTACACCATGCGGATGGACTTTACACCTCAGAGCTGTACTCAGTCTTTATTGTAAGTTATGTGAGCTACAAACCCTTCTGTCACTGACCTTTTAAAATTCATCCAATCACAACAGAACTGAGTATGAATCTTAAAAGCAAAGAAGCCAGTGGTTTTCCATTGATATTGTATGCGTCCAGACTAATGTAAAAATATGCATGTACAGTGACTTTATCTCAGCATTAATTCAGAATTTCTTGTTCATATATTATGTAAAAGATTATGTAACAGCTCAGAGCTGAGAATTTTGCATTGTGTACAAACGACAGGAAAGTGCAACTTAATAATAAACTCCACAAAAGTCACATTTACAAAGGTGGTGTCTTTAGTTTTAATATAATTTTAATAATGTAATTTTACAACAGATACATGCACAAAAACATCAAACTCAACAGTGCATTGTAGGCTTGTCACACATGGACAATGGATTAATAAAGAAATCTGCATATCTGGAATTCCTGGTTATTGTTGCTTGTAATGGCCCAAGTATGCCACTAAGCAACTTTCTAATTATTGTTCATTGTGCCAAACTGAAGCACAAACTTCTTCTAAAGAGCTTTTCAAAGCAACTTAGTACACTGCTCAAAGGGCACGATTTGGCATCAACTCGGCCTACCACAAACATGCAGCCTGCTGCATTCACCAACATGTGCATTCTGTCTCTCTCTCTTACTTGCTGTGCCCGTGACTCCAGTCACCACAGAAATATTTGTGTCCCCTCTAGGTCTTTGAGATACTGAAAACAGATGCGGGCCTTGTGTCCTTTCAAGCCAAATCACTGTATGCAGTACATGTTCAGTATGAACTTGCTGTTCCCATTGGCCTGTATAACTGCACTTGTAGAGCTTATTTTCCAATAAAGCACAATACCTTTAGACTGGGATGGCAGGAGTTTCTCACTGCAGAGGAGGTAGGGTTGTTGCCCAGAGTCCAGCTGCCTGTGGCTGCCTTGTGCATGTTCTTCATGGTAGCCTCCTCCTGTATGTTGCCTGAGCTGTAGTTTCCTTTTAGATGACCTACTATGGCTGTCCTCACTCACACCTGTTGTATGGAATTCAGATTTTGTAGATACAGCAAGTCACGATGTTCTACAAATAGCGTGCAACATATGAATCAATGGTGCACGGGTAATATACCCATGCTAATTAACGCCACTGACAATTTCAGTAAGGATACATGTGTTTATTGTTTTCTTAGCTGAAGTCATTAGCTTTGTTTACTGTACTGTACTGCATAACAACCAAAAGTTCTTCAATTACTATTAAGTGGCCATCCCCCAGACAAAAGAGCACTGTGGAATAACTACTGATGCCATATGTACATCTCCAGGCTCTGCGCCCTCCCGTTTGCGCGAACAGGTCTGAGCATTACGCAGGTGGATGCAGACCGAATGCTTCACTGACACCAGAATATTGTCGGTCTTCAACCCGCAGTTGTCTGAATTATCGCCACTTCGGTCAAAATGTCAAGAATACAACAGCCACATGAATCTTCATTGAGAGTGAATCTTTCAATCTAAATCTAAAAAGACCATCACGATACGTACCCAGTTCAGTGCTTCAAACCTTTCGCAACGTCTCTTAAATATATAAATAAATGATACGCAAGAAGAAACATCCTATTTATATTTATTTATTTTTTACAGAAAGACTCCAAATAACCTCATCCCGTGAAGCCATGTACTCATGCCGTGCATGGTCCTCGGCAGCGAGAACCGTGTGTTTCACGGAAAACGACAGCACTGTTTTCACAATCATGCACGCGTCATACGCCAACGAGCTGCAAGAAAACATCATATCCTACCTTTTCACTGAACAGTGTCGGCAAACTGCAAGACCTGTAGCATTTTATGGCATTCGTTTGCCAGGACTGTGGGTGTGCTCTCGATGATGTGTTGCTCAAAAAGATACATGGATAAAAGGTTTCTCTATGGCCTGCCTCCTACACTGGCGTTTACAGCTTTCAAGGATGGCTCTGACATAAAAAAAAAATCTGACTAAACAATTGCAGATCTCTCTCGCTCCCTCTCTCACGCACGAGTACAGTGTGCAAAAAACAAAACAAAACAAAACAAAACAAAAAACATTGGAATCTTTTAAAGAAAACACTGTCATTCTTTATTAGAATATACTGTATGTAGACAGCATGTGTGCTTATAGCTCTTACGTTTTTAACAAGGGTCTTTCCAGATTTTGGTTTCCCTGTTACTCACCACCCTGGACCTCTACACCAGTGCCATCTGCTACAACTGGCATATGAGGATGTGTGTGTGTGTGTGCTTCCCTCAGCTGCACTCTAAAAACAGAATCATTCACAACATTCTGTCATTACTATTAAACTGCAAATACAGTCATGTAATGTATTCCTTCATATATTATTCAATACAACCATCAGAATTGTAGATATATCAATATTGTATCTTAAGCAAAACATTCAACTTTAATGCAGCATGGGCAGACATACTCCATCTGGTTACAGAGGGACTTGTGTTCTGTCCTGTTTCTAATTCAACATAGCCAAATATCAAAGAATTGAGACTGTAATACATTAAAATGATTAGGAATTTACTGAATCAGTTTGGTCCCAAAACTATACATAAAACCTCTAAAATTTAACAGAAAGGTCACATCCATTCTGGGGAAGTGGATAAAACTGTCAAGACTTAACTCAGACATAAAAACAGTCTTGAGGAAACATGGCATCTTGACCTTGCAGGGAAATGTTGTCATGATGTACCATTATCTTGTACATTTTCATATGACTCAAAAGATGAAAAATTAACACAACACAGACAAGGAGATACCACAGAAATTATAGTCTTGTAATTCAATGTATTCACATTACAACATCCACATGGTTCAGTTTGTGACAACTTCTAATCATCTTCAAATATATTCACTGTATGATACATAATACCAGCATAGGCACTTCCAGTAAGTCTGGCAATATTGAAGCTACAGTATAGTGTCTAAATTACAAAATGGTAAAAATAAATAATGCATATCTAAAAGAGTTTTGTGGTTTTAAAATTTCTTTGCTGTACAGAATATATGTTTATTGTACAAAATGGAGCATTAACCTACAAGGAAGTTAGTTCGTTTATTTTCACAACTCCTGTGTATTTGGACATGTTCTTCCTTGTTTAGGTATTAGTACATGTAGTAAGTGCAAGGTAGTAGTGAGAAGAAAGCAATTCATTATTTAATTATGTGTCAACTATATAAAAATACTCATCTCATTTTTGTTTACATAATCATAAAGCTTGTTTGGTTCCCGTGGTTACAATTATGCTACATGTGTGAATAAGTACGACAATCATATGAAACAAATACAGACAAGAAAAAACACTATCAAAACTGATATAATGCAAGAACTGACTTGAGACTGATTTGAGTGGGGGCAAATTTCATACATCACACACATTAAAAAATGTTTTTTGATCACCAACAAATTAAAACAGTGGACAGAATTCCATCAGGATGACAAGCTCTGATCTGCAGGCTAAGCAGCATGTAGATCAAAGAGGAAGCACAAGGAGAGTTATGCTAAAGGGCCTTCTGTGAATAACAATTTCACCAGAGTATCTGAGAAGAATTGATGAACTACTTACTGCATCACCCTCACCCTCCATCACCTCACCATCTCTATCTGTTAGTAAGAGTAGCATCCTCCTCTTTTCAACACTACAAGCTGGACGGAGTCACATTAGAGAAGCAATCAGACACAAACACAGACACACATGCACACTGTATACTGTATATGTACATTAACAAAGTATTAAGAAAGTAGGAGCTGAAATCATAACTACATATAGAAGTTACACTGTCCCAATTAATGATACTAAAAAGTAGGTTTCACTAGTTCTGGGCCACTTCAATAAAGACAGTTGTGTTAATCTAATAGTTTCCTAAATAACACTGGCTGATGTCTCATAGCTGAAACAATGATTATAGCTCATTAGGGATGCATTTCAGGGAACACACCTACAGAAAGCAGCAGGTGTGTTGTGTAAGATACTGTATCTGTTTAATGCTTTTCTAACCACTGGGTAAACTACCCATCTTGAACTTGTGTGGCCTAAGCTGCAGTAGAGTGAGTTCCTATTATTTACCATAGCCAAAAACATCGCATGGTAACAGAGTACAATAAATTCAGGAACTGCATGGAAACAAGGACACACTGCTCAGTATCTGATGTAATTTCATTCAGAGTGAAGCTCTGTCATAGACCATCTATAGACTGACATGTTCTCTTCTGCTTTTTGATGATCATTTTAAAGAATAATGATATTGAAAGGAAGCAGCGGTACAGTGTGAGAAGCCACCGCACTCAGATGTGAATGTAGGTCATGAGAACTCAACAAAATTAGCAGTGGATAATTCACTACATATTGCCTCACTGCACTATGTGACAGTAAGCAGACATGTCAACATAGTGCAGGGCACTTTAAGAGCTACTTAGAGTCTGTCAGTCATCTTTTCTATGTAAATGTGAATTATTAAAGTAAAGTGAGCATCCTACTGGAGCCACTATGCAGTTGGATATGTGGTTTATCTCATGGCTTTCACTTAGTTGAAAGTAGAGTAGGGGCTACTGTAACCTTGAGTCTTCTAGTACACATTACATTTTCTCATCAGGTCCTGACCTTTGCACTATTATGTTATGTGTGTAGAGCAATGTGACATTTACTCCCAACATATGACAAAAAGCACCTTTTAGAAACATTTTATGTCTATTGGAAATTCTTGGAAAGCAGTTTTCTTTGCTATTTAGCATCCGATTTAAACACTTAAATGTACTGGGTGATAATTTTTTAAATCAACATTCTCGCTAAAATTAAAACAAAAATTTGCAAAGTCATTATGAGGCAATAAGAAAACACTGACCAGGTGATGTGCATTATAGGTCAACAAAGCGACAATGTTATTCACTGTATATCAATGCCATTAAAAAAAGAACCACCTTTTCTACCAGGATCGAACAGCTAAAGCAATTAGCTTCAGAGATTTGTTCTGAGGGAATGAATGCCACCCTGAGGTGCCAGGAGAAGAATTCAGATGTATTAACTGTGTTTATCTGTAACAATGTTAACACCAGGCAAAGCAGAAAAGTCTGGATTGATGACATAAACTCCAGCTTATGAACATATTCTCAACTACCCTACTCTCCCTGCCTGTTTTTAACTTACTGTACTCACTCACAGGTGACAGAGATGTTTGTTCTGAATTTCAACGGTCGTGAGTTTCCTGAGGGTTTAAGGTTGGCACCGTTTGCTGGTATTTACATAATGAGGACCAGTAAATACAGACTTTAATGCAGTTCAGTGAAGCCTAATATGTATTCAGGGGATCAAAAATTAAGGGAAAAGACAAATGGGCACTGTATTGGTCACACTTTAAAAACCATTTTTCTATTTAGGGAGATTGTTGTTTAATAGATTATACTGTCTGGTTTTATATAATGCTTCATCAATGCATAGTTACTGTGCCTGTTTGGTTGTTTTTTTGTCCCTTTTAATCCCCCAACATTTGACATGACAACATGGGAACGTTAGTGTGTCTTCTGTGTTCTCCCTTTTTTGGTCTATTTGCAGCACAGATTCATTTCCTGTAACCCACTGTTGGTTTGTGTACCTCTGTACTGAAACTTTTAGGATTGTGAAGCTTTCACCGGCTGCTATATTTACCTTGGAACTGGAGACCAAAGAACAGATAACACAAATAACAGCTAATCTGCTCATTCTGCCTGCGCCCTCTGCAGAAGAATTGCGCATATCAGTGCATTAATTTAAACACAAACACACACACACACATCCAATCATACACATACAGAGTGTGATAAACCTCAAGTTTTCCTCCTTAAACAAACATGGCTAAACCAAATATTATAACGTACTTAATTCGGCAACAAATATAGAACATAAAATGTATAAATATTTGATTTTGTATGCTAAAGCCCACGGGTGACTGATTAATTTTAGCAGAAGCTGAAAGGAAGAACGACATGCCAATGTGCCTCATTTGACTCCCTTTATAAGCCATATATAGGTAAAAACATTATGGCCCATGCAAGGCCTCAAAAACTTGCTAAAATAAAAACACAAATACAAGTAACTGTGATGTCTATATATAATTGCATTCAGAAAATAGTTATGTATAAATTGGCAGCAGATTTCTGCAGTCCTGTGTTACCACACTGGGTTGAGGTCTGTGCAACCTGTCGTCCTCTTGTCTTGACAGTAGCAAAAGAGTCTGTATCCCGAAGTACATGAATAATCCCGTATTGCAATATGGAAAGCTCCTTAAAATGTTTGGTGAAACCAGATATTCAGATAAAATGTGTAAAGCACAAATTTTCCCACCCTGTTTTTTCTTTATATAGGCACACATTTCCAAAACATCTACAGTGTTGTGTCTAAGTGATGTGCTGGCAAAAACAGGAGTCAGCTGATAAGATAAGAAAAAAGAAATACTTTTTCACATCCTTGCCCTGACTGATGCCATATTTCCCATGGGCTGTTTCACTCTGGGTCCCCCTCCTGTAGTTCCTCTGGAGGTTTGGATTCTTCCCGCAGAGTCACAGGCCACTCTGGTTCCCCAATTCCCTCCTCTGGATCCTCTCCTTCTACCAGCTCCTCTCTGCTCCCTGGCTCCTCCTCCTCCTCATGAATAGCCAGAATAGGCTCAGCTACATTGTTTAAATGGGGAGATTCCGCTCCTGGGCCCTCTGCTTCGATCACCTTCTTCCACATCTCATGGTTCTCCAGAAGGTGTTGGGTGATCTGGCAGAAGACTTTCCTCCTCTTCTTGGGAGCTGCTTTCTCTGAGGAAGAAAAAAACTTGATTAAAAACTTAAAATTAATGCAAATTCTAGACAGGTTTTCTGATCATTTCCAGTTTATGCCTGCACCACTACTTCCGGTTTATAGCTTTGTTTGAGATGTAGTGCTTACGTGATGCTTCTGAGCTGGTGGATGAGTCTTCCTCTGTGGTACCCTCGTCATCCTCCTCCTCATTCTCCATGACCTCTGGCTCTTCTGCATCTGGGTTGGGCTCCACCCATCGTCCAGGCATGAGGCCGGCTGAGTCGTAGGAGTTGCACAGTGGTCCCACAATATGAGTTATAAATGATTCTTGGAGTTTAGCCAACTGTGGTGCAGCTCGGTCCATGAAGGGGCTGATGGGAAGCCCCAGGCTGGACTCCTCATCACCCTACATAAAGCAGGACCCACATTAGTGCAAAATCATCACCAGCTGAGTGAACGCCAAAACAAGGCATGATTCACATTTCACCAAACACAGTTTTCCAAAAAGACTGAGTCATTTAGACTTGAGTGAATCGGCAGGATTGTTGTCAAGTCTGCATCTATCAAGCCCTAAATTATTTCACAAATAATTCTGAGCCTTAATGGTGTAAAAAAAAAAAAAAACTACATGCGTTCAGTGCCTATTTCATCAGAAAGGTGAAACCAAAGGAAGATATTTGATGCACTCAAATACTGTATATAGTACAACAGGTAAAACTTAAAGCTTTGTGGCTTCTCCACCTGAATGACAGTTGCCTGGGCACCTTGTTTATGTTACCACATGTAACAGCACTAAATGTACTGTCACTGAAGATCATTCCTCCTGTGAGGCTCCTGCACTCTGCATCTCCCCACACAGACCTCAGAATGGCTTGTTAAAAGGTGGTTGTGTCACTAGTAGATGTAGCAGGTTCTATAAGGGCCTGAGCATGTGGTGCTTGGCCCAGCGGCAAGCCATTCAGTCTTAAGGGGACTATAAAGGCCACTGAGGGTGGCGTTAGGCTGAAGGCACTAGATTCTGTTTCTTACAGCTGCACTGCACTGTATATTCAAAACAAGGCTACAATATACATTTTATAGCAAAAATGACAAGATACCTTTACCACCTCTACTGCTCCGTCAGAGTAAATACAATGTAAATATATAATAGAAAAGTATAGAACATAACTAAATATATACACAAATTTAGACTTTTATTATGACAGTGTCACACACTAATGGCTCCATCTCCGTATGTATTAGAGATTAAATAAAAAATTAATTAAGAGTGAGCAAAAAACCAATCAAGCTTGAAGTTTTAAGTCCATGTGGAGAGGAGAGAACTGTTTTCAGTTTCTGTACTTGCTCACATGGGTTTTGAGATAAAATGCAGTCATGGCATTAGAAGGATATGATTGGCAAAATTCTATAAATATAGTATTTTTCTACATTTTTTGTTAAACAAATATAGAATGATCAAAACCAATAATGCATTAATCCATCATTCAGTCTCTGTACCAAGCCTGTCTGTGACTTTTAGCACCAAGTCCATTCATTTCAACAAAAAGTACATCTTTTAAACAGCAATGTAGACTTAAAAAAAAAAAGCTAAATAATTTCTTAAAGCTGCCAGCCACTGTAGTGCCCTGTTTACTGACCCCCCCTTTCAGAATAAAACAGGTGAGAGATTGTTATGGGAACAACAAAGCTTTGGGTTTTTAAATATTCTTTTTGAATGTTATTTATTTATACTCTATGAATACAAGTGCTAAATTCCTCTCACCACCGCTTCAATGCATAAATACAAAGTGAAGTTTTAGCTCACACCTGTTCATAGAATTCATTGACAATGCCCTCTGTCCACTGCAGATGCAGGTCTTTGCATTTCAGAGGCCCGTTGATGTCAGCCAGTTTAATGCACATTTGGCAGACCAGCAACCTGTCGTTCTCATTGGACCAATCAATACTTGCAGATGGCTCATCACCTACCTAGGGGACCGACAAATAGACATGTTGACATTTAACGTTCGGGAGCATGTTGGTAGACACAGCATGTGATATGTAGACATTATGTAAATGTGACCCCATTAGTCTGCTGTTCAAAGATTGTGTATTGATATCAATGTCTAGACAGTTTACTCATCAGGCAGAAGACACAGGAATGCACGATGAGAGAGGCAAAAGCAATGACGCTTTTAAATGGAGCTTCTATTGCCATAATTAGGCCGGACCTATACCTGGGACTTTATTTGAAATAGTAGAGTGACATTCTCTGTATTTGCATTTTCTCTAAAATATATCTATTTATGAAGTTCTCTGGATTGAAATTCTTGATTATCAAGTAATTTTTAGGGAAATGGCATAATCTCCTCACATATGAATGGTAAATGATAAATTGACTGCACTTATATAGGGTTTTTCTACCTTACCGGGACAAAGCACTTCACACAGACTCACCCATTCACACACACAAACACACTGATGGCAGCGGAGGTGCCATGCAAGGTGCTGGCCTGGCCACCAGGAGCAATTTGCGGTTCAGTGTCTTGCCCAGGGACACTTCAACATGTGGACTGGGGAGAACAGGAATCCAACTGTCAACTCTGCGATAAGAGCTTGACCTACTCCTGAGCCACAAGTTAAAGCTTACAGGAATCACAACACTGTTTGAGCTAATTCCTTACTCCTTGTTATGGTTAATGAGCTTCAGGAACTGTGAGCTAATAACCCCAGAAACTGAGGAGATCAAGTGCACAACCTGATGGGTCCTTCACAGAAAGTTAATTTGCCTCCATGAAGAGTGACACAGTGTGCCCTACAGTGTGAAGCATTACTATTACTTTTGCAGCCAGGTCAACAACCTCATTGCCAACTCACAGACCTGACTACCAAGCACCTCCACTGTACTAATACTCACAATGGAAAAATACAAAACCCTCAAATCCAAAGCCAACATTCTGTGTCCACTTAAAAAGCTTCAGGGAGCTTTGTGTTGTTGACCTGAGCTGAATATCCCAGACAATTCTCATTCTTTCCAGTGATGGCAAAATAAAATAACTATTTATACATAAACTTTTACATTTATATCCAAGTGTTCAGAATCCACTTGGCACTGACTTAAAATTCCAAAGTGACAAAATTTCTTAAGTTAAATAAACACTATCAGGGTTTTTTAAATTTTAATCACCATATCCATAAACTCTCCAAATATAAAAGCCAGATTGTATGTTTTCAATATTTAATGTAAAACGATTACATTTTCATACGATACTACCTTGGCATTGAGCTCAGCCACAAAGTCAAAGTGCTTCTTCAAATCCGTGGCCAGTATGGCCTCAATGACCAGGAAACGGAAACGCTTGAACTCCACGTGGTCCAGGTTGACGAGAAAGTTATACTCTGGCTGTGACATGAAGAGGTTCCAGGCGGCAGCAGCGTGGTGGTTTTCTAGAACAGATCGGTCATTGTAGAGCACTGCCTGCAAACACACACAAACACATTTACATAAACACTATCAAAGGCTGACGATTGGCAACAGCTTTGCCGGTGCATTTTGGCTGTGAAATAGACAAAGTACAGGAAAATCACCAATAAAATTATATATTTTTTGACAGAAAAAACAGATTAATATAGTATATGATATGTTCTATACTATAAACTGAATAACTTGAGTACCTGTGGGGCACTGGTGGCCACAAGGAAAGCGTTAGTCCGCCCAGGATGGTCGTAGTCGTGCATTGCAGCAGCCACATAAAGTGCCATGAGCTCCAGAGCAGGTATGAGGCCAGACAGGCAGCCATAACCATCTTCTGACACAGTGTAGGTCTTTGAAACCAGGAAGCCCATATGACTGTGTGTGATCCCACTGTCCGAGTCTACCAGCAGGGGAACAGGCAAAGTGAGGAGGTTGAACAGCAGGATGGCAGAATTTACACACTAACACATACTGTAATTCCATGTGCACATGCCTAAACACACACAAGGCACTCTAGAGAGCATGTACACACACCCACATGCACTTGTATAGCTAGCTTTGTTAGGACATTCATTGCCATCATGCATTCCCTAGTCTCTCACCCTAACCTTAACCATCACAACTAAATGCCTAACCCCAACCCTTACCCTTACCTAACAGTACAACCAAGGCTTAACCCTCACACAGCCCTTTGAAGGGGTGTGAGAAAGAGAGGACAGGCCAAAATGTCCTCAGTCCCAATGGTATAAAATTCAAACCAGTCCTCACAGTGCTGGCCACACAAGTACACAGACACACAGAGAGAGAGAGAAACACTTAAATCCATTTCTATGTGGATCAAAGGAATGGCCCTAGTAAGGCATACAAATGAGGTTATGGAAATATGGGTGAGAGGGACCTTTAATCTGCTTACAATTTCATGCTGTTCTTGACTTCAAATAGTATTTGGAACATAAATACTATTGCCAAAAGCCCGAGTAAGATAAGACAAACTGTGAGCAGGAAGAACACACACACTCCTGCAGGTCTGACATTAATGAGATAGCTCACAGTGAGGCTGCAGGCAGATGAAAAAATCTAAATAAAAAAAGGGTCTGGCCTACTTTTAGAAAATCTTTCCAATCATGAATGGCTTAACAAAAGTTAAAACTGGTGCAAGGCATCTGGTACTCATTTGTTTCAATGTGGCAACTTAAATTGATATTAACAACTTAGAACTGATGAATTCACATACATATCAGCATGTGCAAGTGCATGCATGTACTAATGGACACACCTGAGTCACTGACAGAGCCATGGTCAGTAATGAGGCTGGGCAGACCAGGCACAGCCTGTGTGGTGAGGTACCAGACTGCATGAAACACATCTGTGGCATGGACCCTGTTGTGATCTGGGTCAGGAAAGACAACAAATCTGTGTGTAATCTTCTCCACCAGAGTGCACTGTTGGCCTGCCGTTCCTTTGTAACAACATAAATACTGCGGACACTGATGTATGACTAATACTGGAAAAACTGTATGACATTTCCCTCTAGTGGCTGGTTTCACTGTTACAGCTGCAAGTAAAATAAACAGAAGCAAAATGAAAAACACAAGAAGGACTGAGATGTCCAGGCTTACATGGTATGTCTCTGTAACCATTCTCAAGGGCGTGGAAGTAGTTCATGAATTCTTTTACAGGGATCTGAAAGGTCCCAAACAGGCCTGTGTCTTCAAAGAGCCTGTAAGCAACCTGAACCACAAAAATCTTATTGTCAGAGAGTTTGTCAGCATCACCAGGTATGAGTAATTAACATATTACAAGTAAGAATGCTTTGATAATTTTATAAAACTGGAAACTGTAATCAAATCATATGACTGTTGTGTCTGTGGAGGCTCTCATTCATCCAGGTTATGGCATATATTGACATGCTAAAGTTGGCAGCCGGACTTGCTTGAGATTCTTGAAGAGGTTTCACCTTCCATGTGAGAAGCCTCTTCAGTTCTGACTGACTGGTGGGTCACTGACCTATCCAGCCATCTTGTAGGTCGTTGCCCCACCATTAGGGTCACATGAGTCACAATGTGGATGGGTGTTAAATTGCCTTAAGTGTTGTCTTGGGAGGTAATTTGACACCCATCCACACCTTGACTCATATGACACTAACCTTAACCCACATGTGAGTTCAATGGCCCTCAAGGTGTCATTTGCAGCGTTTCCACTATTAGACCCTAATGAGCAGTATATCCCCTTATAACCCCCAGGTTGGGGCAGGCCATCCTGCTTTGTTTTTCCATTGTATTTTCTCTGTGTCAGGTCTCTGTTTAGAGGAGGGAGGGGCTCACACACATAGCAAAAGGAGTACAGATGACATGAAGAATCACTCCAAAGTGCAACAATCAGCCAGTAACGGAGGCGGTATGAGCGTTTTATCAAACAGCTGTTGAACAAGCAGAACACAGATCTGCAGAAATGTGCCAAAAGTTGAGATGTGAAGATGCTGACATTTAGCCAACCAAGGGCGACTGCTCTGGATGGATGCACCCCTCCCCCCTCACATTCCTGGAACTTGATTTTAGTACTACCTCCTGAAATTTAGCTCCCTAAATGCACCTCCAAACCAGGAGGAGGGCAGCGGAAACAAACACAGAACCTATGACGAGTGTCACTTGGCTCCACACGTTGCAGTAGGTTCCTGTACTGGAAAAACCCCTATTGACTCCACAGAAAGTAGGTACCTGGGACTCCTCACCAGTCAATCAGAACTGAAAAGGCTTCTTGGATTGGAGGTGAACTTTCTTCAAGAACCTCTTGGAAGTCTGGTTGCCAACTTTAGCACTTTGGGTATGGCTGTAGTATTTGAGAGAAATACAGATATGTTGATAATTTGTTTGTCTATTCATTTGTGAATGCAAAGAAACATAATGTTGTTAAGTATCCCAGCAGTATTTACTGCTTTGAGAATTTCATGGCTGAAACTGTGACCAGTGTGTCATTAGAAAGTAGTAAACACGTTTACTGTGCTCACCTGACTGAGGATGCGTCCACATTTCCCACTGGTCCTTTCCATCAAGCTGAAAACGGGGAAGTTCCAATTGTTTAACTGACTCATTAGAGGCTCTAAATCCTCCATTACTAATGGCTCTGGAGCCAAAATTGGTTTGTCCTGTTCAAGTGACACATGATGAAAAGTGGTTAAGGCAGAAAAATACAATGTAAAATATGTCTCAGCAAAACTGTGATTATATGTTTGTCCAAATCAAATCAAACTTTGTTTATACTGCACCATTCGTACACGCTAATGAATTTCAAAGTGCTACACAGATAAAGGCAATTAGGCAAAAGATGAATAAAACAAAACTATCTATAAAATGAAATTAAAATAAACCCTTCATCAAATATAGTATGTAATGACAAGTAAAACAGATAAGAAGGAATAATACAGGCTAATAAACAACATAATAATTCAGAATAAATCATTGTTGTGTTTTATTGACAGAGCTTTACTGTCACTGATGTGACTGAAGACAGTCTGCCTGTTCGTACTGCACCTCAGGAGGTATTAGTGGGTGGAGGATGACATTCTGGGCGGGGTTTTTTCCTTCCTCCGTGTCCTTCTCTGTATGTGCTATATCACTGCTGTCACTGTGGTTGGCTTCGTGGGTGCTGTCGTAGTCTGATGACGCAACAACTTGGTCCTCTGCTAGTAAATAAAGGAGCAGAGAGATGGTTGTTGAATACCAAAATGAGACCAAAATGTATTGTTTATCTTTAGCCGAAAATGATATACAGGTATGATTATCATTTGATATCACAGCATCTAGGTGTGTCCAGTTACGTATGGAGAACCAATGAGAAAAGGAAATGATACTGGTGCATCATAGCTGGAAATGTCTGTTTGCATTTTTTGTGGCACCAATATAGACTGGATTCCTTGGGACAGACATTTCTTTGTTGGGGTTTCATGCAGCCACTGTATGTAGTACAGGACATGCATTTTTGTTTTTCAGTGTTTTGAATGTCTACAGTATATATATATTAAATATATCAGGATCCTATAAGCAGCACATTGTAATGGATGCTGTCACAGAGGAGAACTGTGTTACAGTATATGTGCTCACAAACACTCTCCCATGCTGCTTGGAGACAGCGGGGTAATGTTATAAAGACGAAAGCATACCTGAGCGTGGTACCCTGTCTCCCTTGTCTAGAGAGCCCTCCCCATGGCTCAGTTTGATGTACGGCCTCCCACAGCTGCAGATAAAGGGATAAAATTAAAAGTTAAAGTCCAAAAGAGGATATGTTTCATTTAACTCCACAAGAGATGATATTCCCTGTGATGCTGTGATATTTGCATCTTCAGCTACTGCATATAAATGTCAGAATCAATCAAAGATGCTTGAGATTACACACTGAAAGACAGTAATGAGTGAGATGCATGCTCTGCTCTGGGATGCATCTAAATGTGTATTAGGATATCTAGTGTACTAATCAAATGCAAGGATCTGATTTTTTTTTTATTTGAGTTATGTTTATCGTAATGTTAATTACTTTATATAGCTCCACTTGTTTGGCAGAGTGTAAAATTAAGAATCAATCTAGACAACACTGAGGGACAAATACAGAACAGTACATGTGCTTGTAGAAAACAAAATACTCAAGCCTTTACTGTCTGTAGCTGTGCCAAAGAGCTGGGAATAATGCCATTCTCTACATCTGTCTTTGATGTCTAACCAGTTGGCAGAAATTGTCAAGAAAAAAAACTTAATGGGATTCCTACTGTGCTGTCCCCACGTGAAACAGACGTTGCACAGATGCTTCAAGAAAAATACTCATTAATGAGCATAATGATAAACAACAAAACAAATTCAAAACAGTTGCTGGTACTGGCGCTGCTATAAACAACCCATTAGAAACTGAGCCCACCCTCTGAGATTTATGACAGACCAGTGTCAGCAACAGGAGCGGCTTTCTGCTAGCTACAAGCTCAGAGGCAAATATCTAGCTATCTATCTTTACTGGAATACTATATGATCTTTTACAGAAAAAGGTTAGTTAGTTGTGTGACACCAAAGAACCTCCTGAGCTGATCTCAACAGCTTGTCCATGTTTCTCTACTGAGACCACTGTCAGGATGTACATGGTTCCAATTAAAATACCTCTCCCTAACTGTTGTAAAACCTGCCTTCTTGGAGCAGGAAATGCCTGTCGTTAGAGCATGGTGTTACAGGGAGCACAAAGGCCTGTAGTGTGTCTATCTCCTTCTGATAAATTGTTTCTTGAACACTTTTGAGCCGTACCCACCCTGCCTAATGGTCCCGCGGCCCGAACAAGGGGACTTCTGTTATGTTTGAACGGCTAGGTCGGACTACTGTGTGTAATGTCTAGCAGGTGTGGAATATAAAATAGTTTGACAGTTTGGCGGGTGAACTGTTAGTACATAATTGTCAGGGGGTCTGGGCAGACAGCGGCGCCCAGTGCTTGCCGAAAAACTGGCAGACACTCTTCCTATTCTGCTAATGCAGCAGAATAACCTCGGCTACTGACACCGACTTTTCAGCACAGGATATAATCAAGAAGGTTGGCCATTTTCATTCAAGGAATATGTCAAATGTCTCACATGACTGCTTTTATCACAAAACAACTAAGTGTGGTTGAGACATTCGTTGGATTGAACAAACTGAACACAGCAATTTTAAGATAAAAAAAAAAAAATTTTTTCCAAACCTCAAATTTCTATCTCATAGCTTGAAAGATGTGTTAAGACCTGCAATTAAACATACGTATTTTGCCAGCTCTGACACTATTTGTTTTTATTCCACTATTTGTTTGTACACGTGCTCCGTGACGAGGTGGAATATGATGGGGCAGGAAAATTCAAAGTAATATGGCTAAAATTCTCTCTGTGGTCAAAGTTAACACCACACTAAGCATGCAGCTAAACAAATCCATTTCAAAGATTTCATTCAAAAATTGTTTTCCCCATGTATTTAGAGTGATGGGGTGGATATGTTATAACTGACAGAGAAGGTTTTGAAAGAAGAATCTACAAAAGGTTTTCTAAAAGAAACTCCAATCTCACCAGTTTTTGAATTTGTCTTCTTCAAACCCTTAAATGATGTCATTTCCTCTCAGTGGTGTCACTCGTAATGAACAAGAGAGTATTTTAGTGCAGAAATACACTGGTGTGACAGGGTGGAACATGAAACTTATGGACACACATAAATCACACAGTTTTAACAAAAACAATAAAAAATTATGAATATATTTCCCACAAAAAAGGGAAGGAAGCATTTACGTTCATAAAAACAAAACAGTTTGAGATTTATGCAATATTCATTGTGTGTTACTCGGGGTAGTTTAACAAGACTAATCACACAAAATTAAAATTGGATTTTTACTTCATACAAACAAACAAACAAACAAAAACCTAAAGTGGAAGTCTGTGTCTGGATTGGAAAATAACAAATGTACTTTAGTAGTCTCATTGTTTGTATGAACCTTAATGGAGTTAATAATCCTGCAACAGGAAATGCCGTGTAAATTGCAACATTGTCTGGTTTTCCTGAGCTCACCACTGTCGCCTCTGCTCCTCCCATGTTGTTTATCTTAACGTTTTGAGCCTTGCAATAAACTCTGACTGGTCCCTGCCCCCTCCCTGCTGCAGTTCACTCCCAGATTTCATACTCGACAACTCGCAGCAGGTTGACAGATTACCTTTGGTTCAGAGCCCAAACGGACAGTGTCCAAGCCATGATAAACACAGCAGCCATTATTTTTGCTTCCAGTAATCTACCTACTCTTGAGCCAGATGACATGAAGAAGATAACAGCACAGCGGCCGGGGCTGAGGGAAGTAAGCCTTCGGTCACCTCCCTTTTTACCGGGTCTGTCTGATAAAAAGTCGATAATGTTCCTTTGAAGTTGGGGTTGTTTCTTCCTAACACTGTATGTCACAGAAAGCTGACATGATGGAAAAGGAAGAAGGAAGAAAAAGCTTAATGTCCCAATTAAGACTGTAGAGATTTGATGACGGAAGAGAGAGAGGGCAGTTAAAGCCATGTGTCTATTTTCTCCCAACCACAACTCTGTGTGCTCTCTCTTTTCTGAGAGTATTTATTGCATATCAGGAATGGTTTATTAGGGCTGTGTTTGATCTGTAAATAAATGAGGATATTACTCCTGTCTTGCCCGGGTGTCAACAGGGATAACACTGACAATATATAAATAACAAAAACAGTCCCTTCTCATCCCCTACAACTTGTTGTGTTAAATCCCACTTGAGAGATGATGTGCTGGCAGGTTGTTGATTACTAAGAGGCCGTCACAGGTTTAGTCCCAGCAAGAGTGAATAGTTGTCAGCAGGCATGGGCTCTGTTTAAGTGTCTTGAAGCTTTACTGGCTCTCTTTTCATTTAGGCATCTGGATAAGAGCCAAATGCCTAAAAGAAAATTGAAATGAAGTGTTACTCAGAAGAGAGCCCTCTCAGCTGCAGTAAACTAAACCCAGAGACTCTCCAGTTGTGTCTGTATAACCAGTGCCAGAAGAGGCAGCTGTGACTGTTTCTAAGTGTGTGTGTATGTGAGTGCGTGAGTTTGTGTTAATTGCAGGGTTTTGGTGACTGGGGAGAGGCCCAGGTGTTTGTTTATATTCACACCACCATAAGTGGCCATAGCTGGGGCCTACTGCTGGGCTGGGCTGAGCTTTCAAACCAGGCGACGGGGCTTTGTGTACAGAAGCTGCTCAGCATGCTTACATTTGCAGAACTTGTTCAAGTATCACACTGTCACTGTGCAAACAGACCAAAACAAGCCACTGACAAGCGCAGCCCACACAGGTCTTTGGAGGACTTGACACAATACACACAGGGTGCAGGGATTTTTTTACAGTGCTCAGTGCAGTAAACAATAGAAGGGTAGGTTGAATTTAGTCATCACTTGTAGAGTTTTGTTTTCAGGTATATCACGTCAACATTATGATATGGACAACCTGTTCTAAAAAGTCCATTACAGTTTTTAAAAAGAGGTGTACAAACTTTTATTAAAGGAAAGAGAAAGGGGAGAGATGGATGAAGGTACTTATGGTATTTTAGTACTATTTGCTTAATAAGTAATACTGTAACTACTATGATTACAACTGCATGTCACAACTTTCACTTAAGTCTGTAATGTAAGAGAAACAGCAGTCTCTGTTTTGTTATCACATCTCAGGGCCTAGCGCTAACCCTTAGGACCATTAAGTTCTAGTATTTTTATCATCTGTCATGCCTCATTTTTATACATAATATCTTGTTTGTGTAATATACCGTTTATAGTTTGATTGTATGGCTTTTTGTGTGGATATTCAGCCTGAACTCATTCTCAGGGCCTCAAATACTGATGATATGTCAAGTACAGAGGGGATGCCAAGTGGTTATGTGTAAACACTGCAGACTAGCGATTGATCAGAGAAATCACATCATCAATGTGCGAGACATACTGGAGTGAAGAAAGCACCATTTTTAAAGGCAATGTCATTTAATGCTAACCTCTGCAATAATTAAAAACAGCCACATACCAAGAATCAAGAACAGCGTACTGTTAGGTATTTTTAGTCAGATAGAAATTGGATAGATACTTTATGTATTAGAAATGTTTAGTGGAGATAGGATGTCTAGTTAGACTGTTAAATGCTTAGGCATGCTTATGAGTTTCTACAGGGTACATCTGGTCAAGGATAACTAGAGAGAAGAGTTGATGACTGTCAGCAGACAGGGTGTTTAATATTATTATTATGACGTGTAGAACTGTAGCCTTAGCCATAATATGTTCTTATGTTTAAGTCACGACATGTACTAGAA